TTTATTGCAAACCAAAGACTAGATTCATTTTATAACTGAACTATGCTGTATGGACTAAAGAAATTTACTGGAATTCTTCCTTTGTACTGAAATTTATATATTGGAACTTTGACGTAAAAAGTTGTTGATTTAATGTTTTTTGGATCTTCTGAGGATAGGTAACCTTTTATTAATCCTGATTTTCAGAATCTGTTAAGCATGTGTCATAAATGCATAAAATAATTTTGTACTCATATATTTTATAGCTTTTTCAAAAATATTTCTCTTAAGTCTTCAAAGATTTATTTAAACCAGTCAATATCATTCTCACTAAAAGACTTCAACATTTTTTTCTTGGTATACAAAAGACAATATGCAAATTCAAAGACTTTATCTGATTAACGAGATGAAAATGGAATAATATCTAACTCTTTCTCTGAACTAATAGAACAAGCATTTTTAAATACAGTTATTAACTACAGTTCTGTAAGCTATAGCTGATTAATATCAACAGTGCACTGGTAAAATAAAGATGATAACCTTACACTTTTCAACAGATTTTTTTTTCCAAAGTCTGAACTGTTTCTGGCTCTTATTAAATCTAAAGACAACTTTATGAAGAATAACAACAGAAAAAACATCCATCTGTTTTTTGTTGATTGTTAGTTTAATTTGGTATGTGACTTCACGTGAGGTTTAGTCTATCGCTAAGGAAGATATCCAGTTGTTATAATTACTGATAGGATAAACCAATTAGGAAAATACACTTTCAGGTCTCTCCAAATCATAGGTATTCCAAGTTCTACAATACTGACTCCAGTAAAGCCCTTGAGGTGAAATTCACCTATATGCAAGAGGTCCAGTATGAGGTCTGTACACCAATCAAGTCTTCCTTTTAGGGATTAATATAAGAGACATCACAGTAAGCAGACCTTGTGCATAGAAGTTGTTTTTATCATTGGTCATAAATGAGTCCAGGTTGGGGAAGTAGACAGAGAGACAGTGGGCAAAAAGCACAAACATACTGGTTTGTGAGAGAGACATTTGGGGCCAGAGCACCAGGGAGGATCAAGGGACAAGTAATCGTATTACTTGGCCCAATAAATAATAAGAATAGGACAGAGGAAGAAGTATAGGGCAGAGGTGCAGTAGGGCAGTTCTGCACCCTGGGCACTGGCAGTGCATGGGGTAGTGTATAGGGTAGCAGCGGTGGCTGCCTGGCAGCTGCACGTTTGCTTCCCTGACCTCCATGCTCAAGATTGCTACCCCAGTTGCCCCCTTATAGCAGTAAGAGCCAAAAAATTCACCTATGGGAAGTAAAGGGGAAGTAGCGTACCAAACAGAGTAGTGATGTGTCCCCTCAGCAGGAGGTTAATCTGGTATAGAGCAAAAGACAGCAGCAGTGGGGGATGGAAAAAGTTGTGAGATCTCAGATCTTTCTCTGATACAGATATTGTTGTACTTGGTTACAGAAACACAAGTGGCTCCTTGAAAGATCCTTGGCTTCCATCCCTGCTTTTATTGCACCCCTGAATTATAGTCCAACCATGCCTAAGGCAAGATCACCTCTATCCGAACTACCCCAATCCAGAATTTGCCTAACCTGAATTTAAGAATCTCCAGTGATGGAGATTCTGCCACCTCTCTAGGTAAAAAGTTGTAGTGGGACTCTCAGAAGGAGGTTGTATGATATAGGTTACAGGCTCCGTATTAAATGAAAGCAAACCAACATAAGCATTCTTTCTAAAGCTTCTGGGCATTTTTCAATAAAATGGCCAGAATACATTACACTGCAGTTCAGAAAGGTATGAGCCACCATGCCAGAGTCAGCAAAAGAAAAGGCCTACGTTAGATGGAAATAAGCACCGTGTCCAGGACTCCATGTACTTCATGATTATTCAGTCACTTAATCCAGGGGTTTTCAACCTTTTCTAAGGAGTGTACCTCTTCTGTGGCAGTGGCCAGACGCATAGCTGGGGGAAGGGGGTGGCAGCAATTGCACATTGCACAGTTGGTTGCACGTGCAGCTTCACAGGCTGCTGACGGGCCTTGCACCTGGCCAGTCGTGCGCCGCCCATCGGCAGCCTGCAGAACCACATGTGTTGCATGGCAGCACAGGGTGGTAGATGGTGGTGGCAGGCACTGTGTGTGAGCTCCCCCCCCCCCTTTGCATTCCGGCCAGCTGGGCAGCGCCTGTGTGACCCGCAGAGGGAAGCCGCTGCCCTGGGCACCCTCACGGGTCTGCTCCTGGAAGGCAGGGTGGTAGGTGGCAGCCCTCTGTCCCTGCCCACCCGCATGTATCCCCTAGCAGAGGGGCGGGCAATTATTTCGGGCAGAGGGCCATTTACTGAGTTTTGCCAAGCCATCGAGGGCCACATGACAGGCAGCCAGGAGCAGATAAATATTAATTTCCTACATTTTTTAGGGGCCCCGTGGGCTGGATAGAATGGCCTGGCAGGCTGCATCTGGCCCGCAGGCCACATTCTGCCCACCCAAATATCCCCAGGGGTACGCATGCCCCCGGTTGACAACCCTAAACTTAATCCAATCCTTTGATGTACAGATCAGCATCTTTTTAATGCTATCAATTTAATTCTTTGCAACATCTCAACATATGTGATCTTTCCAGTGTGGTCACTATCATGTGACCCTCTCCTCCAAATATGTGTGGATTGTATGCAGATGAAACAAAAACATTTTCAGCTATTCCATTTTTTATACAAAGAATAGGAAGGAGAAAACATGTTGACATTTTGGGGCATAATAACATCTTACTATTGCAGCATTAATGTGGGCTGTTTATAATTATACACCATAATATAATATATTATATACTGTATACTGCACTGCCTTTATAGTGCAGTATACTGCACTATACTATATACTGTGTGTGTGTGTGTGTGTGTGTATGTGTGTGTGTGTGTGTGTGTGTGTGTGTGTATATATACATATATATATATATATATACACAGTATATAGTATATATATATACTGTATATATGCACTGCCTTTCCCATATGCAGGCAGCTTTTGTTTTTTTGTGACTAACAAATGTGATTTCTGTTACCTTTTGATCAAAAACAGTTCCATAGCTTACAAAAATACTTCAAGTAATAATTGCTTAGAACATGTTAACACAGAAAAATATTAATAGTATAGACATATGGAAGTGTACCATTATGAATACATCCAGGACAGCCTGAGTCCTTTTGCATTATCAAGAAAATGTCTACTTCAACTTAAGAGGAAGAATGGCTGTTGTGTAGGTTAATGTTTTCCTCCATATAAACTCTTCTTTGGCTTATGTCCTTGGAATCACACTTACTGTAGTGGGGCTGAACATGAATAAGGCTTTATCCTGCCTTTAAGGAGGAATAGAGAACTTTGGAATTTATCTCACCCAAGTCAGCAGAGAACTCATCCCTTGAAAGTCTGAATAATATTGGTGCCCCTAACTTCAAAATAGTCTGGG